AGCATGGAACAGTGACAGTTTTTTGTCAATTGAGGATCAGCTGCAGTCAATTTAAAAATCACTGTTAACCCATCCATTACTGCCATCATCAGCAGAACTAACACAGCAGCAGCTCTTAAAAGTTTTATGAAAATTCTCCCTGGCAATAACAGGACATGCCCTTAACAAAGCTCGCAAAATGCATTAAAGCCATCTCCCTCACAATTACTCCTAGCCTGGTGAAGCTACATGAGAGAACTACTGAACGTTCAGGAGAAAGTCAAATAGGGAAATTTGGCACAGAAACAATTAAGGAAAAAATACATGATAAAGCAGATCTTGGTTACACATGTTTCAAGACAAAATCTAACATCGACTTTATTTTTTAAAGATGTATGTACTATCGGAAGTATATTCATTTTTAGAGGTCTTGCCATGAATAAAATCCATATATTACGAATGCTTTTCATAATGAGGCACTGAAAGCAGGCTATCTATAAAGTAGCTATAAAAATACAGTCAATTATCTGGAAATCACCAGCATTCTTCTTTCAACTGTTAGACAGCTCGAGGTAGAGCTTATTGCAAGCCTGGAGACTTTGACACAAAAACTGTATTCCAGCATTGGGGAAAAAAATAAAAGCAGCACTTGTTGAAACTGCTTTTTAATATGATATTGTGTTAACTGATTACATAAACCCTTCAAGTCAAGAAATGGTTTAGTCCCCTAGATCATGATTAAACCATCTAGTGGAAATTATATTTATTTTGCTTATAGGTACATTTCTCCTTTCCCCTCATTCTATGTGTGTGTCTTTATGTATGTTGTTACAGTAAGACATTTAATCAAGACCTTTTGAAGTGGTAGAGTGGAAACAGCTGTTTCTGACAATGTGCCGATGACATGGGGCTTAAAGCTGTCATGAGCTCCAGATTGCAAGCAGCACTAATATGTGGTTGGGATGGTAGTGACTTTCAGGTCACGGCACCTCCTTGAGGAATGCTTCTAAGCCAATCAGCTCAGTGTGGTGGCTCAAAGTCTTAAGGCTATGGTGAGCTCTCTTTCATTTAATACTCTTGAGGTCACACTTCAAAGTGCCCTTTCTTCTCAAGAGCCATTGGCCATATGTGGGGGTTCTAGAGCAGATTTTTAAAGATTGGCTGCTTCAAGTCTAGACTTAAAAAATTAGAAATGCAGTTCTATTACACAAATGATGTCTTAAAAGTTGAATAAAAGCTGAAGCTTTAGTCAATATCTCACAGTCTTGTAAAGAATGCCAGTTTAAAGAGTTTCTGGATGGCCGATTTTTCCACAACAAAGTAAGCTTAAAGCTCACATTTTAGAGTGCCTAACAACTTGTTAAAACAATTCCCTGGTTTGTGAATATTACAAGATGTAGGGCACCTAGAAATCATCTCTGAATATGGACCTTCCTCAGCAATACTCCCACTCAGAATAATGACTGCACAAACGTCTTGCTGTCCAAGAAAGCCACTTTCATTTCTTCATGCAACTGGATTTGTTAAAATTAAACTAATGTGATTAACATACCTCCAAGCCAACATTGCTAGAGCAAATACATATGTGCTTCTCACTGAGAAGGTTCTAAAATGATTTTGTTTTGATCACGGTAAACACACAATGTGGGAATGCATTTTTTTGAAAGTATTCAAAAAGGTCCAGGGGCTAGGGAAGCTAATCTCTGTAGGTTACCTATAGAATTGAAGAAGGAAAAAAGAGTCCTGTAAGAAATGATTATAGCAAATAAAAGTAGATTCCTTCTCTGAACTGTTCCCTGGATTCCTCCCCTCCCCTTTGGCTCTCCAGGGGAAAGCAAACTGCATGAAGCCTATTTGGAAATAAATAGACATAATCTTGCGAATGCTTGCTTCTTCAGTGAAGTTTAAGACAAATGATTCCCATCTCCACAGCAGGACTATATTCTACAGAAAATACTGTTTTTCTGAAATTTCACTGGAAATTACTTTCATAGAGGATAAATAGACATCTACGGTAAATAAGGCCAATCATGAACATTATTAAGAGAACAGTTAGATCTAAATCTGGAATAATAATACTAGCCAGATTTGTTTTTTCTTTGCAGCCAAGCTGCATTTCAGCTGGTGCTGCTATTGTACCAAAGTGTTTTAATTATTTTACACACTGCAGAACGAAGGTATATCCAAAAGCAAAGATGACATTCAAGATGGAGATATGCATTTCAACACGCCTGTGCTGTATTCAGTTGTTCCTTTACTGGGTATAATTTTTTTGCAGATACTTTATTCATTGTAATAAAGCTTTTCCCAGAGAAAATAAATGGTATTTTCAGTATTTTTCAGTCCTCTCAGAATGAGTTCAATGATGACTGAATCATCTTCAATACTACAAAAATAAAATCTATGTTTGCTTTATTAAAAACAATAGAAGAGAGAGAAGTTTCAGATAAGTTACATTTCTCCTGTAACTGAATACTGTTTTTCTGAGGATGTTTTTAGCCTCCTTAGTCACAACATTTATGAAAACGGATTAGTTGAATGAGAAAGTGACTCAAACATTAAGGCACATTGTTTGCTCGCTGTTGTGCCCCAATCTTGAGGCACTGAAATAAAAGAAGGCTTGCTTAGGAGACAAATGCAAGAGTGGAGGCAGTTGTCTGAAAAAAACACTGAAATAGCCAACTAAGTAGCTCTGAATGTCGTAACTCAGATGGCCATTTAAACTGGACTTGGGTGTAGAAAGGCTCAGCAGAGCAGCTTCTGATCCAAAGGGCTTATATGTTGGGCAGCAGGTGAGGAAATCATGTGTACGAAGTATTGCTTCACTCCAAAAGCATCAGGAGTGGTAGAGAAATCGAAGAAAGGGATGCAAAAGGAAAACAAAGTGAGAATGCCAAAACCAAAACTGTGCCATGAAAGCTCGATGAGCATACAAATTCGCTAACAATCAGTAAAAGATTGAGTTTGTAGTATTATCAACATTTCTTATTGTTGTTAAGGATAGTATTTTATAATAGTGATATTAGAGATATTACATGATATGTAATATTTGTAATGAAATGGATGCAAGAGAATGGAAATCTGAGTGTTGTTTCAGGCTGCACTAGCTGAAAATCTCACAGGAGCTAGGCGTGGGACTAATTCTAAAGAATAACTGATAATTTAGTTGTCTTGGAACAGTGAATAAGAAAGGAATTGGTAACAGAGAAATGGATCTTCAACTTGGAATCTGGAGGAGTGACTGGGGAACTATTGGAGAAAAAAAATCACGCTGAAAAAAAGCAGAGAGCAAGTTTACTTGGGATCCTGATTCAAAATTCACTAATGTCAACAGGTATCATTGCAAGCACCAGAAGGGGGAAGGTTCCTGTTAAACAGATGCTTTTAGCACTTAATTGTTCTAGGAACAAGGCTCATCCACTGCACAGAAAGAGACTTCAGTGCTGCCACAATATTCTTACCAAGAGGGAATGTGGGAACAGATCTCTTAGCAACTAACATTAAACAGGTGCACACAAATACACATCTAGAAATGTGTGCATATATATATGGAGCTGTATGTATGCATGCATCTGTACATTACACCACATTCAGACATCTAGTATTTTGAATTTTCTACAAAGAAACATTTCTAGATCATTAGTGATATGATAAAATGAAAATCCTTCAGCATTATATTTTGGATAAGGGTATCTCTTTAGCATCTTGACTCAAATAATTTTGCTGATCCTTCATATTCATAAGACTGTGAGAGGATACATAGGCTATATCTCAAACAAAAAATTGAACTGTGGGCATTTTCAAGCTGTGAGGATGGTTCCTACACAGCTCTGGATAGGGCTACTGCAGTCTCGCAGACAGTACCTGGCCACGCTCTAAGAAGCTGGTTGGATCAACACTAGAGAATAGTCCCGGGCAAGTTTAATTTACCAGTTCAGATGTAGCTATGAAGCACACAGGATTTCACTAATTTGGACTCCATACTCCTTTGGAAAGATCAGGAGCTTCTGTCTTACTATGTCTGCACTATATTGCATACTACTTAGAAAACCTCTTAAGAGTGGCTTCATTTCCTCCCATCCTGAACCTATTATGGTAAATTTGAGAGTTAATAACAAGAAAAAAGATATGTACGACTACTTCTGTTTCTATTTTTATTCTTGAGAGACTGCCCTTGTACAGTCATCAGTTGATGCTGGCATTGAAAACGGATACAACCTTCCCACTTTGCATCACTAAAATAGTTTTTAAAAGTTGTGAACCATATGCCTCCTATGCTTAGCTAGAAAGTTAAACTTTATCATCTTGAACATAAAAGTGAAATTAAAGAAAGCTGAACAGCAGCACCTATTAGATTTTACCTTAAACTAATCAAAGTTAGAAGAAAGTTGCTATAATAAACTGTTCTGATGATCTTATCCTGAAAAAAGGATACTTTGGTCTTAACATGTAAAGCTTGTCATCAATACCTAGCATCGTGGGTTAGGCCGCTCTGGCAACTAAACCCTACACGGTCCCTCTCTCACCCTCCCCCACCCCCAGGGATGAGGGAGAGAATCAAAGAGGAAAAAGAGAGAGATGGTGTTTGTTGTTCATGTTCAGAAGTTCATGACAGAGGAAGGGGCATAAATGCATTATTTCAAATGCCTTAAGCAGTGGATCACAGAATAGCCTTTCATTCTCTTTTACTAATGAAAACAGATGGAATTAGGAGAGCTTTCCAAACTTAACACATTTAAAGGTAGACAAATAAATCTAAATCTAGAAAACTTTCCCAAGTATGTTAGCCAAGTACGACTCGTTGCTAGAACACTTCACTGAGGTAACATGAAAGCAGAGTGATTGGTTTGAAAAATGAACAGCATTATCTGACTATCCAATAATTAACCATTAAAAGAACATATATAATATAGGCTGAGAGATCAAATGCTCCAGCAAGAAGTTTCTCCTTGACACAAAGGGTTCTGCACTGTAGCATGTTCATCAACTCAAGTAATGGATATCATTAAGAAGGTACTTACATTAGGTCTTAATCCTGCTGCCATTTCATAATACTTCTCAGCTTCTTCATTGAGACTGGCTTGTCTATCAGGACAGAAAAAAAAAATACAATTACACCTCATTTTCCTTGGGTTAAAAAAGAAACCATACCTAAAGAAGCATAGTTAAAGAAAACTACTGTAACTATTCCCCATTGTTTAAGGATATTACCCTAATAAATGCACAAAATATGTCAATCTAAAAGATATTTTTTTGTAGTTCAGAATGTTCATTATCACCAATCCTCTTCGCATACTTTATTTTCTTTTTAGTTCTGAAATTGTGTCAGTACACACTGGAGAGAAATGCAGAAGGCCAAACACTCAACTTAGGCAAAACCAGAGATGTAACAGTCTTCACCAGAGGAAAATCTGGCTCGTTTTGTAATTGGCCATACTTTATCAGTAAATTATGAACCTGTAGATTATAAAATAATGCAGTTCTTTTCTTTGTGTCTCACCAAGAACACTATCATTCCAGAAAAAAAAAAAAAAAAAGGAAAAATCAGAGAATACAATGATCTCAAAAATAAGTTTCCATGATTCAGAGAATTTATTTAGAAAGAGAGTTCTGATCTCAACATTTACTCATACCAGTCTGAGAGGGAATTAGAACTTAGATCTTATATCCCAGGGGAGTAAGATGAGTTTCTGGGTACCTGAAGCACTATCAGCTCATTTCTTTTTCTTTTCCTTACTAATATAGATGGCGTCTACATTCTCCTAGTAGTTTAATTTTTATTTCTTCTCCTGAGTTTTCAGCTTAAGGCCTGCAAATGAAAATCCAGTATGTTGCCAAAGAAATCCAAACACATTTTTGTCTCAACAGGCTCTTCTCTCAAACTCCTCTCTTCTCCTTTTGTCTCCACCTTCTTAATTTCCCTCCAACTATTCATTTTAGCTACCGGCCTAATATCAGGTGATCACATACAGGTAATGAAAAAGATGGTAAATATGTAAGAACAACCAAGCAGAACTCTCAGGCAGGCCACATATCTTCTGCTAAAGTTACTTGCTTTATTTTCTATGAAGAGTTAGGTCCCTTCATAGAAGAGTTAAGAAAGGAGATCTTCAGCATATTTGTGTTAGTTATGTGATTACAGATGCATTTCTGCGATACAAAATGGAAAAATTAGAAAACAAGATCGTTGAGTAGGGTTGGTTGGTTTTCTTCCTTCTTTTCTTCTGCTTCCAAGAACAGTTACTAGTTCAAAGAGTATCAATCAACTGAGCACTTGCATCTGGAGATTTTACCTTGTTCATTACATGAGCTTTTACATGCTTTGTTATTCAGTGATCAAATTGCATTCTAATTTTATGTTCGCATCCACTCAAATTTTAAACATGAGCCACATAATACATGACAAGCAATTAATCCCAATCAACACATTTTGACAGTTATTGGTCCTGGGAGGAGAAAGGGAGGAAGGATAATCCCTTTGAAGTTTCTCACATAATTCACGTGCAAGCTGAAACCACTTCCTGACTAACAATTTGCCAAGTAGAACCTGGTTTATACCTGTTAACTGTTTTAAATTACTTTGCACATGTATCATTGACTCAGTGGTTGCAGTGGTTAAAAACGATTGAATGTCTAAAAATATTCATTTAACATGCTTCTGAATCACTCCTGCTGGGCATTAGTAGCACTTGAAACGACTGGAAAAAAAATAATCTTACGCTTCCGAATTTCAAGATTTACTACAAGGCACATAAAATGAAACATGTCACAGAGCTTTTTTTCTCCCTGTTTGCACAGAACTGTCAGGAAACAATGTACGTGGTGAAATTCTGTAACATAAATGAGGTGGCTTACCCAGGAGGCAGCTACAGAACGGTACACTTCACCTCCAAAAAGTGTTGTTGGCATGCGATCGTGGAACAAATTAAAATCCTGTCCCCTTTTAGCCCAGTGGAAATACATGGTTTGCTTGCCTCCCACATGTACATCTTGAAACATGCATCATTAATTCCTAAATTGAAATCAGTTTGAATTTATAGTTGTCCATTAAAAACAGTTTATAGAAATGAATGCACACCACACTAATCTGGTCAGGACAATGCCAGTTCCATTTCTGGTGCATTCAGCAACAGTTCCTTTAGTTAAGATACAGTAGAATTCTAGTTCCCATTTTCACTGGAAATGTAAACTAGAAATCCATTAGGTTAAGGCCTGGAATGGCTTTCCCTTGAGAAAAATTAAAGGCACAGAGGTAGGAAATTGCAGTAACCCTAAGCCATTGAGCAGTAAAGGGCTCTGGATCAATGTCAAACAATGGAAGGACATCACTAAAGAAAACATAATTCATATTAGAGTAAAACATTAGGTAAAATGTTGATAAAACAGAATGGAAGGAAAGGAAGCAAAGAGAAGTTTGGAAGGCCAAGTTCTTTCACAGTTTTCATAGCTATATTTCAACCTCTATCCTAAATTTTCCATGACAACTGACCTTGAAAACATATCCAATTTCTCTCATTAACACCTAGCATTCAATCTTATTTTAAGGAACAAAAATGTCTCCTCTTTTTAGTCTCTTGTATCTCTTAACCTGAGCCTCCAGACCTACCGGTTCCCTGTATTTTGTTCCAGCTGACTGCCTGTGACACCTCGTAAATGTGCTTGACAACACATCGCTCTTAGGTTCTCCTGACACCATTATATCCAGCTGGCATTCACTTTGAATCTTCATGTTCATCACTGGAAAAAGTATTGCTTTAAGACAAAAACACCACCAATGCTGACTGGTTTTGATACATAAACATGTGAATGGGAAAGGGTTATGTTTAACCTGCTTATCGGTTGGTATAAGGCTTCAGACTGATGATTTTTTTTTAAGTGAAATCATGGATATCAGTCCAGCTATAAGGAAGTTTTCTCCAGAGAGATTCCTATTTTAAAATACTGAATGTTGATATTTGGCATTCTTAATGGATCTTTTTGTGTCACAACAAAATCGTTATCAGATCTCACACATGTAACGCTTCATCCACATTTTTTGTTTTACAACAGTTACAAAATTTGCAGACTATACTATACTATACTATACTATACTATACGTATATATGCTTAGCCATATATACATACATATATATATTTAAGCACATGGACAGTAATTAAAGAATGAATAAAATCTGTTTAGGCAATAACACAGGGTGAACTTGTGCAAATGAGACCGTGCCAGCAACTACGCTCTGCGTTCAGTCAGTGTACTTGAAAAGCCAAAATACTCTCACAGAAATTCACTGAAAGAAGACGACCATGTCATGCCATATTGCTCTAATTTACACTTCCGTTTTCAAATAGCCAATAAACATGCTAGAACTTCATGTAATACGAGTGTCTCCCAAGCAATCCACTGACTTACAGAAGTGTGAAAAAAACAGTTATTCCTATAAAATGTGCTTTTAAGCAAAGCTGTCCTTCTTTTGCTTGTTTTCATTTGGAGACAACACAAAGCTCTTTTCCTGTTTCTAATTAGCACAGTGGTGTCACCACACTGCCATTCCTCATTCCCGAAGTAACCATCCCCTTGATCACAGGAAACTTATCGCACAGCAGCTCATCTCAGTATACAACTATAAAGTGAAATTTAGCACTGTTAATACATGACTCGGTCACTGAAGCTACAGTCACCGTACGGCATTACAAACAGATGCTTCACTATATTCCATTAAAATGGATCTAGCTTTTCTGAGAGGCTTCAAACTGAGGCAATAAGCAAGCGCACAGCAAATACTACAAAAATAAAACACATGACCAGTTACTGCTTGAAGAACAACCACTCAAACAGCTACATGACCCTTGAATGAAGCTGTCTGGAAAACAAATTTGTTGAGAAAACAAATTTTACAGGCAAGTACTACGCAAGTTAAAAGTTACCAGACTGTTGCAAAGGAATTAATTACATTCATCCCACAGCTCGCCCATATTACAGATGACTTGATTCATCTGGCATTGCATTATCAGGATCCTACAGAAGTCATCTAGGCAAAAAATTCATAACTATGTTTGTATAATTAGGAACAGGGAAGTCTCTCAATGCAAACAGAACCAACTCAGTTTTTTTTTTCTTGAATTCAGCTTCAGATTTAGCCACAAAGAGAGGAAGTAAACAGTGTTGGAATACCTGACAGAAGGAGCAGAAATCTTTCTTGTGCCTGGTAAACTGAGAACAGGCTATCTATAAATACAAGTACTGCACTTGGACATAGTTAACAATTCTGTTGCAAATTTAAGAAAAAAAAAATTAACCTGCAGCATTCCAGTTCAAAATTTTCAAAACTTGTTAATTTTTATTTAGGTTTCATTTTAATTTAAACATTTTTCTCAGAAAGTAAAGATATTGAAAAAAAGGAAAATATTTTAGCAGTAGAGTAGAAAAATAAATTGGACTTGGAGGGAATGTTGTGATTGTTTTCCATCCAAAGCACTTGTAACCCAGATTTGAAAGAATTTGCCTGTGATTCTGAAGAAATGTCTGCATGTTTCCGAATCTCCTGACATTCCTTGGCTAATGGTGGAAACAGGAGTATGACAGGAGGGAAAGATGACTCCTTTCTAATTCAACAGTACATTACTGGGTAGAATATTTGGTCTGAGAAAAAACATTAGACAAATCACACAAAAATCTAAGCTACTGTTATTGCCTCCCAGTCATTTAGGACACTTGCATCATCCACATTAATACCAATTTCTGTCTCTTAATCCACAACACATCTATAAAATTTATCCCATCTCTCTCACGACAGTCAATTCACTTCCATGCCCTGTGAACTTCTACCTCACAGCTGTGCAGTCCATTCAACATTCTTACTCACTTACCAGTGAGTTTTTGCAGCTCTCTACGGTATCTAAAGAATAGTTGGTCACCTACATGAAACTATTATATTTAATAATCTCAGCCTTTCGTTTATGATTGTCTTTAGCATCCACAGTTTCTAGCTCTGTCACTCTATGCCAGCCTGAGTATTCCCTCCTTTCTTTCCTCTTTTGTATCTTGGTATCTGCTTTTCTCTTGGAATGTCCTCAACTCTCCATCATTCTACATATCCTGAAAATCAGCTTCTTCTGAAGTCCCCCAGACTCACGAATGATTTGTAGCTGCTCTATCCTAATGTATGAATGAATATACATTCCTCTTGTCCAACTGCTATTATGTAAGCAATATATATACATACCAATAAATTGCTAAGTAATGCAGTGAACAAAAGAAGACAACAGAATAGTAAGCTTTTAGCAATACTCAGTCAGCTCATAACACACGTGATTTTAAGAAAATACTTGGCAGCACTGAATTTCACTTTGCCACCCTGACTCTTGCTAAATCCTCCAGACCACTTTAGACTCTCAGAGCATATTAGGAAGACATTACGATCTTCCACAAAGAAAGCTGAATATTTAAGAGAAAAATTAGACCAATTGGGTATCCCAAAGGAGCACAGTTAGATTCTAGCTAAGCTAAACCACCAGCTTTTTTTTTTTTACTTCTAAGGGTTTTGGTTTTGTGGTGGTTTTTTTTTTTTACTTTCTGAAGATGTCGTTTTTTTGCTTATACAGCTAAAATAGAGAACGTAGTTTAGAATCACTGAGCTCAATGCTGGTCAAAACCTCCCAAAAAGTGTCCACTCCCAACCAGATAAAGTAGGGTAACCATGGCTGATGTACAGTATAGCAGCTCTTATTCTGAGTGTGAAAAAATACTCATATCCCCATGTAAAGACATGTGCCTTCAAGACCTGGGATGCTTCACTCAGTGCTCACCAAGAAAATAAGAGATTTATTAAACCTATTCCCAAAAATAGTATTGATTTATGCCATCACATTTTAAAATATCCACAAAAACATTCGTCTGGATTCAGCTTTCATGCCTAACTTGCTATGCTGATAATTTGTTTGATAATTTGTTTCATTTAATCTAAATGTTTCAAATTACTGAATTCTATCTTGAGAGATATCATTCAGAAAATAATCAGGAAGAAGGGAAGGGTCCTTAAAATAGTTCACACACACCTGTGGCAAGTCAAACTATTGTTTATCAGTGAATCATTTGTCTTGGTTTCCTTTCTAACCTACAAGTAGCAAGAGTTATTTCTCAAAGGGCATTTTGGGGCTTATTTAAAAATCCTCCTATAGAACCCTTCATTCTGAAACACACGTCACTTGGCTGAAGCTGATTCTACCTTTTCTTTAATACCATTTTCTTTCCTTTTATTTCGTATTCTAAATGTTAAAAGTATAAACAGCTAAGTGAGATATCTTCATTAGAGAAATTATCTCAGTAACTGCTTTGTGCTAATGAAGTATATTTTTTATTTCCTTTTTCATGCATTTTCCTAAGCATAGGTATAATCTAAATGAAATCCAGTATCCTCATAGCTATTAAGCGGACAATAGACAATAATTAGATAGTTATCCTAGAAATCAGCATGGAGGATACTTATTACAGTAATGTGAGTTTAATGATAATGTTCAGACAGAAGCTTAATGTTGCTGAATATCCAGGTCTGACAGCTCTAAAAGGAAAAAAGAAGTTTAAAGTTTTATTCTATTCAGATAGGAGAACAGAATTAAAAATAAGACTACATTTTAAATCACAGATTCTGATTATATCACTAAGTGCTCCTATGAGTCTCGAAGTCATCATTAGCCTGGGAATATTTAGGTTTCTAATTATTGTAGTGTTCCCTACTGATATTAACATAAAATGTGATATTTTCAATATTCTCTAGTTACATGCAGATTAGAAATATGGTCTATTATTCGCAATTGTTGTGTCCTAAATTTTTAAAAATCAGGTGAAAGGAAATCTTACAGAAAGTTCTTCACAAAAGAAACACTGGTTCTTGTAAGCAAGAAAAAAGGATTATCTGTTTGTGAACAACAGAAGTTTTAAAGATAAGAAATTATGAGATAACACATAGAAAATCAGAAATAGAAAGTACTAAGTCCTGCAACAGTTTCATTCCAATTATTTTTATCTTATTAGTAATATTAAATTATTCAAAAGAGTTGCTGGGTTTTAAAATGAACCCTGTGTAAGCAAAGGCAGTAAAGGCTTTTTTCCTCCAAAAGAAGGGAGGAAAATCAAGCAAGGCAGATGTAAAAGCACTGACCTGAGCATATGGGCTGCATTGAAAACAACATCAAATTCTGTATTATCAAGTTCAGCTGCTTTTTTTGCCATCTCAGCTGCTTCTATCAGGCGGGATTCTTCAAGGAGGAACTGACCTGCAAGGGAGTGCATGAACATGAGACCATAGAAGACAACTGATGGATAATACTTCCAACACTAGA